TGCTGGGGGCACGGACACATAAACCCTCCCCTGTCAGGTTATGGGTTACACAGCTGTTTGAATTGTTGGGAGGCTTTCCCTCGGTGGCTCTTTTATATGGTTTATATGGTGTGAAGAGAGCATTACTCTTCAGGGGACTTAAAGCCCTTGGCCCGATTTGTCTGTGGTCTTTAAAGATCCCATGACGCTTCTGGAAAGAGCTGGAGAATGAATCTCTTTGTGCTGCTTAAATTTCAGCAGAGAGAATTATGTTTTGCTTTTCTATCCTTTCTCTTTCTGTGTTCTGCTTTGTAGATTCAGGCATTATTAATATCTTTTATAGCATTTTAAATGTGCACTGTGTGTGGCAATGTGAATGGAAATCTGAGGGGTTAAAGTCAGAGGAAAATCCAATTGTGAACAGTTTCTGTGCTGGGTGAAGATTGTGGTAACAGGCAAGAGGCAGTGCTGGCAGACAACATATGTGCATTGTGAATATTGAATAAAAAAACTCACAGTGCTGTTAAGTACATAAAATTTTTTAAAATTCTGATATGATTTTCAAAATACTTTTTAACGGAAAAAAGTGATATTTTCTTCAAAAGCACATTTCTTTGACATTATGATGGAATTAAGAGGATAACAGACCTCACATCTGATGTAAATACAGAATACCATGACTACATGTCATAAACCAACTTGATTTATGGCAGTGTAAATGAAAGCAGAATCTGTCCTGCAGCAGCACCCACGTGACAGAGTGTGGTAGCTGGTCTGCTGTCTCACGCTCGGGTTCTTTCTCAATGTTTGAAACAATCAAATGCCAAATTTGCAGAAATTTTCTGGCTTTGTGTAACAGGTACATAATATCCATTAAGGAAGAGGTGATGAAATGAGAGGAAATTAAATGGAAAGAACTTTTTCAGAAATAGAGAAAGGAAAATGGGCAGTGAGAAAGAAACAACTTCAAAGACAAGATTTTAAAGTCCTAAATTAATTTCTAAAAGCAGTTATAGGACATGCCTGAAGATTTTCTACAGTAATTAACAACTGTAATTAAGTTACTGAGAACAGAAAGTGCCTCAACACCACAGGTTGTGTCTGCCTTAACATGGGCTTTCTACCAGAAGTGGTGGTGCCTTCCAGACCACACTGTAGTTGTTGTCTGTGCCAGTCCTAACAGCTACATTGTGCCCCAAACATCACGTCCCAGAGCATGTTCTCTTGCAGGCAAGGCAGCCAGTGAGCCACCAGCTGCCCACCACCCATTCTCCCACCCCACAGCTACCCTGACCAGGCTGCACCGCTGTCCAGACTCTGCTCAGCCCCACAGACCCTCCCCCTGCCTCCTGCATGGATGACTTTGGGGGACACTGTGTGGCACCTCCTTTTGCTACAGCAGACAGAGCAGTACTGGAGCCTGCATTTGGGCAGAAGAACTCCTTGCCAAGCCACAAAGTGTGGGGAGCCAAGTGCACTGAGTATGGCTACCAGCATAAAGTGAGCTTCTAAAAGCACCAGCAAAGAGCCTTAAACTCAAGTGGCATGTTCCCCCTTCTTCAGGAGAGACTGTAGCAGGAGCAAGGACGTGGAATGCCAAAAATATTATTGCTTCATGTCTAATAAGCAATAAATGAATTTTATTATTTCTGTTAAGTCATAACCCCTCTGTTGGGTTTCAGAGCTGCTGTAACCTGAGATAGCTAGTATATTAGATAATACTGTGTCAAGGGGAAATATATGGCTTCCTGAGGTTGTCACTGCCAAATCACACCCCATCACTATTGTTCAAAAATTGCCTGAGTGTTAGAACTGTAACAGATGACACTGGGAAGTTATGTTAAAGCACTGTAGTCAAATATCAAGTAATCACACAGTGGGGCCATTCTGATTTAACAGAAGCTGGAATTAAGTTTGGAGTTATGTATCCTTTTTTCTCTTTGATTTTACACAGGCCATGACATATCACAATTGTTTCTTCTCTTCCAGGCTGCATGGAGGAAGTCTTCAATCTAGTGGGTTAAAAATATAATGTGAAGACATTACAGGAAAACCAGAAGCTTTTAAGGGAAGAAAAGCTTCTTTGCTTATACCTGGGCATGGGTTTGAGACAAAAGAATGCTATTTATTAATCAATTAAACACACAAGACAAATGACTATTCAAATTATTCAAATACTTGCCCAGCAGACCAGGGATAACACACACACAGTTTGCTCAGGCTGACATGAGTCCAGGGAAGGGAGCTGTGCATGCAGCCTCAAGATGATATTTTCCTTCAGGAACCAGGCAGAATCTAGAGCAACCAATACAGATACTTGTTCCCAACTTTTGCTTTACAGCTCCAGTTTCCTGATGTACATGTCTGACATGTAATGAGAGGCACACAATTGCTGGCATCTAATGGAGGGGAAGTGGGCTTGTGGCAGTCTTATTTTTCTAATAGATGACATTTCCACTCAGAGAAAAAGAGAGAAAATATCAATTCCCAAGGACTCAAAAAAGAAATAAAATATTATTTTAGTGTTTAGGAAACTTCCTTGGTTCACTGGAAAGATTTCACAGCTATAAACCTGACACCTTCTTTGCATCTGGCAAAGCTCAAAAGCCTTTCCTCTGGACACATGGGCATAAACCCACCTTATCAGGACAAGGGGGCTGCTTTGGCTGCCCTGCCAGCAGCCCCAGAACCTGTGAGGGTGCTGATCATGAAAGCATCCTAAAATTTACTGTTCTGGTGCCAATGGACATACCCCATGACAGTGGCTGTGTAAGAGTGTCTGGGCTAAAATCAGTACTGAAATTTCCACTGAGACATGCCATTCACTCCCTTCTGCCCAAAAGGGATAATTTAAAGCCATTAGATTGTTTCTTTTTACAGAGAACCCCCCCTGCTACACGGCTTGGGCTGCTGCCTCCTCTCCAACCCATAGGACATGGGCAACTTTTTGGAAAGTGTGTTAATAGCAGCTCCTGTACTTCTCCAAACAGATCCTGTGCAGGCAAAACACTGCACTTCAGAGAAGACTGCTCCTTGCTGCTCTTCCTCACATTGCAACCCAATTTAAGGCTGCAGCTGGACGGGGAGGTAGTTAAGCACTTCTCATCATATAGTGCAAGATGGGGATAGACCGTAAAGAAGACTCACACATGGCTCTGAACAACTACATATGACAGAGGGTAGTGAGAGCCGCTCCCTGGAAACCATACAGGCAACCATGAGAAGTGCACAGTTTCACTGACTAATGGGCAGAGATTATAATTCATGATGTGTATGGTACTGGAAGGAGCTTCAGCTACTGAGAAATGGGTGGTGGATGCCTGAGAATCCCTGTGGATTCTGATGGGTTTGGAGCCCTAAGAGGGGATGGGAACCAGGCTTCATGGGAGGGATGAGGATGCTCCTGCTGCCCACCACAGTCAGCTGCCTGGCTGGGGACTGTGCAGGACAAAAGCAGGATGACACCCAAGGCTTGAAAAAGCTCACATTGGAAAACCACACCTTATATTTGATGGGAAAGAGGTAGCAAGACTGTTTTGGGGCCAGGGGAAGACTGCCACTTGATGCTGCTGCCTGTTTTGCCTCACTAGCACTAGGTGTAAACAGAGGAGCTTGTCTGATGAAAGCATCGGTTTTTATAGACTTACTAAAAAAAAAATATTTATTGTGATTTTGCATAACTGATGGTGTTATCTGAGAAGATAATTGTTGGGTGTGATAGCAAACATTCCTGTTCTCCACACAGCCAGCAGGTTTTGGGAATGAATAGGGAATTCTTGTTTGAGCAGTTATCCCTGATGGGCTCCTGTTTCTCCCTTGAAACAGGACTCACTGCTCCATCTTGGGGCTCCTGTATCTCTCAAATGCAGCCCTTGCTTCAAGAGTCTCACAAAGGTCAGCAAGCCCACAAAGCAGCAGTTGTGAGCCTCGCTCTCTTGTGGTTTCTTTTTTAACTTATATGGATTATTTAATTAATTGTAATGACGACCACTGTGTAGAAAATCTGAAGACCACCCGAGGTGTGAGCTACAAGACAGTCAACATGGGCTTTTTTCCAAACATTCAAGTGGCCCTTTGAGTCCCCTCTCAGCCTTTGCTACCTCCATAGGCACAACCAAGGAGTGTCACTTTGCTATCACCATGCCCATGCCAAAAACAGCCCTGCCTGGGTGAAAGCCGTGTCAGGACAGAAGGGAATAAAATAAAATGCAGTGGTGAAACAAGAGAACAGGCCTGTGCACTAGCAGTCCCAGTGTGTGTTAGGTTCCACACCTGCTTCAGACCAGGTCTGTCAGATAAGCTGGAGACTCCCACTCCTCTGCCAGTGTGCCATGGGTGTGCGACAGCTGTGTAAGCACTGTGCTGACCACAACATACTAAGCTGGTGGGAGCACAGTGACAGATCATTATAGCAGTGGTAGAATAGGCTTGGGACTGCAGAATATGGTATGTCATCTATGTTGGTATGGGCTTTGGGACAAGGACTCTCTTGCATGTTTGTTCTTGACTGTGAAGACATGCTTGGTGGAGGCACTCTGTGGGGTGAACTTAGCTTTCCTAAGGATTCATTTTCTCTTGTCATTGTGTCCTGGTGTTTTTCACAGAATCACTGTGGATTTCTCTTTGTTGCCTGATGCCTGGGCAGGTGCAGCCAGCTTGCCAAACTGGCTCACTTGATTGCTATTTTTACCACAAGCTACCTTTCTTCCTTGTATCTTTGTAAAAGCTGAATAGGAGTATGAATTTTCAGCTTCTTGCTTGATAAGGCTATCAAAACTGCTGTGTTCTCTTCCTGGTAAATAGAACAAAAGGCTCCTTGCCAAGTGCATGGGGGAACAAGCAACGTGTGCTATAAAAATCCTTTGCGCATGGCAGCTTCACATCTTCACCTGAATGTACAAATGCTGCTCTAAATTTTTATCTCTACAGGTACCTGCAAAGGTGATGCAGAAGCCTTGGAATTGTAAAGACCTCTGGACGTGCGCTTTGACTCTGGGAAGTTGCTACAGCCTTCAGGTTACCTGGGTAAGCGCCAGGAGTCCAGTGTGATCCCCTGCAAAGTTGTGTGGTTCTGTGGGGTCCATCCATATGTAGGGCTGTGGGGAGAGAAGATATACCTTATGCTTGACAGGAGAAAGGCTGTGAGCAAGTGAGATACAAAGAGTCATCTGAGAGACAATTTGTGAAAACTTCCCAGGTTCTCTGAATGTGTTATATTTGCTAAGGGAGTAGCTATTGCCTTGTCCTTGTGTGTTGTCTCTGTCAATCTTGTTTTAATTTCTCTTTAACCATAACATAGAGAAGAAAGACTTCACTGTGCTATGTTTACTGTTTTAGGTACATGCTTCAGTGAGTAAAGGCACAGGTTTTGTAATTCTGGGACAAGTAAGCAGCTACTCAATCAGTGTGAGCAGTGGAAGAGAGAGAGACAAAAGAAACCTGTTGGTGGAGACTTGGGCTTAAGAGAAGGAGAGGAACAGGTGTTGTGGCTGTCAGTAGCTTGAAATGGGAAGATGACATCTTCTTTGGGCCACAAAACATGAAAATCTCAAGGAATAGGAAACTCAGAAAACTCCACATATTTTTCAGATAAGATGTCTTGTGATTTTCTGTGGCCATTTGTGGTAATGTGTGCACACACCACCTCCAAAAATAAAATTTCACAAGAAAACTACTCTGGTAATCTGAAGGCAGCAAGACCTTCAGAAGACTCAGGACTACCTCCAGCAGCCATTTCAGCCCAGCATCTTCTGCATCAAGCAGGAGATGACAGAGGCAGGCAGAAGTGCTCAAGCCCCAGCAATGTGCCTGGACGGGCCCCAGGCAGGATGTGCTTCCCATGCCACCCACCCCCAGCAGTCGTGTGAAGGGTGAGTGGGTGGCCAGGGTGTGACATCACAACACAGCATCTGCTCACGTCCTTACGCTGCTCCAAAACACCACGGGCTATAAAGCACACAAAAAGCTTGAAGCCATCTCCCAGGGTTTTATCCTTATAGCCTCCTGGGAAATCAAGCTCTCATTCCAGACTCAGACCCAGTCACATGTGAGATGACAAACATTGAAATGAGTCTCAGATCTGAAGCTCATCTTTTTTTGTTGACAGAATTCAAATCTCTCTGGTTTTAGGCCAAGTTTTTATAGTTGTTTTCTTGTGGGTTTTTTAATCCTTTTTGTTATAAATACATCTCTGCAATTCTTTTTGAGAGATTTCAAACAGAAATTTCTTGCGTGAGTGTGGCAGAAGACAACTGAGTTTCAAAACTACCCTTCAAGACAACCACAGAAAAAAAGCAGAAAGAGAAGACAAAAATGAATCCTTGTCATATAAACAGGCATGAAGTTGCCATTTAAGCTGCAGTTCATGGTTTTTATTTGAGCCCAGTATGTTCCATCAGCACTGTCAATTCAAGTGTTATTTGATTAGGAATCTTGAATTAAGTGGCTGCTCCTTAAAAAGTAGTCTATGAGACTAAACTTAGGGATTTAAATTAAGGCACTTCCTTCTGAGGAACCGTAAAGGGCACTGGGAACATGAGCTGTTTAGTGGATTAGCTCCTGAGAGGAGCCAGATCTCTGAAGCATTGTCAGCTGGAGGTCCTGCCAGGCAGGCAGGAGAGTTTTGGGGAAGGAGTCCTGGCCACATATGCTGCTGTTCTTGCTGTCTCACATGCAGCACAGCACAGGCAGGTCTGGTCCTGAGAGAAGCCCTGCAGCAGCTCACATCAATGCAGACATAATCATGATGGCTCAGGAAAGGAGCAGCAGTGCAGAGAGAGGAGTCCTCTTTACCAGGAGGAAGGAAAACTGCTGGCATGCACAAATACGGCCTCTTTCAGGCATGTGGACCTAGAGGACTTCATGAATGCCACAGTCTGCAAGAAGAGGGGTAAAAACATTATGTCTGTACAGAATACAGGTGATTTGTTGCCAATGGTAGTTAGGCAGGGGTGTCTGGAAAATAGAAAACAGTGCTAACAGGAGATGAATAGATAATTCTCTGAGTCATCATCAGGGCCTATGGGCAGTTGCTGCTTGGTGGGGAGAAGATGAGTGTAAGATTAATGTAAAGGGTGTCAGAGGCATGTGTTGTTCCAGGTGCAGCAAAATGGAGGACATGTCACTTCCTCGGGGATTTGCATTCTCTTTCTCTTCCTTCCTCCATCTTTGTTCCCTTGCATCACAGCAAATCCAGCAGCCATCTTCAAGTGCCAGTGACTACACGCTGTTACAAGACTTTCAATTCTTCCAACAGCTCCTAGACATCTCTCTCCTCTCACACCTTTTCCCTCTCCTGTACCTACTGGTTTCAGTATCTCTCCACTGTGACCTGGGCAGAAGGCAGAAGATTTATGCTATTTAGAGGTATTTAAAATAATTTAAATAAAATTATTGTTCCATTGCGGTAATAGCAGCTTTCCTCTCAAAAAGGCAACTAATTTGGGCCTCCTTTCTCTCCACAGCTGCCCATTATCCCAACACTTGTAGGATCTTTGAGATTTCTATTTCACTGTCAAATCTGATGGAATTCAATCAACCTGAACAAATTAATGAAGAAGGGGACACACACATAGGGATTCCACAGTTCCATAAATTTAATTACCCTAAGAAATCCATCTACAAAAGAGCTTACTGCTAGTCATAAAATGAAGAAACTGCTTTCATTTGCAAAGAATTTGCAATCTGGCTTTTGTGGTTTTCTGCAGGGGAGACTGATAAAGGTCTGAATTCCAAGCAGGGGTGTAGGCAGAATAAAAGAATTAGTCTCCTCCTTTAAATGATGGAAAACATCAAACTGATTAGCCCAGCAGACTTGTACAGGAAAACAATTTTTACTTTGTTATTTGTACTCAACAATGATACAGTCCATTCTTATAGTATGCATCAGCTGGGGATCTCACCATGCCTTGGAGCTCATTGAGCACTCCCACCTCCACTTAAAAAGCACCATCTTTGGAGAGATACACAACAGCTGCTTTGCAGCAGCACAAGAGCTGGCAGGGAATGCAGAAGACACCCATATTGCATCTTTCCTGAATAGGGACTGATCAATATGCCAAAGGTGATGTTTTGTTTGTAGTCAAGAAAAAGGCTTGGGACATGGGTGTTATTCTTTGTCAGTTACCTCTCTTGACGTAGCTAGATATGCCATCATTTAGACTGTGTACAGAGCAATCCCACGGTGCCCATGAGGATTTGGCTGTGACGTGTCACCAGATGGCAGAATTGAGGACTGAAAGCTAGGAGTTGTTGGTGGTGACCAAAAGTTTGTCTCCCAGGATGGCTGTTTCATCACCCATGGGACACATTTTGCTGATGTCAGTGCGCTTCTCACAGAATAAGTGATCAAATTACCAACACTGTCAGCAAGGTCAATACAATTAGCCTTCTTGCTGGTCGCTTCAGAAATTAGCCCAAGGGTTGTGTTGAGCCTTTTCTTATAATTTAATAGTTTAAAAGTAAGCCAGACCAAAAGTTGGAGTCATGGAGGGTGTTGTTCCTGTACCCTTAAGAAATGGCTACTGAAAGAATTTGGAAGTGCAATGGCTGCTGAAAGAATTTGGAAGTGGGATCACCAAAATGCTGATTTTCAACATCTAGCTTCAGCCTTGCTCCAGCCATATCTGAGCAGTCACATTTCACAGTCTCTGTGTGTGACAGTCACAGATACCTTCTGCCTCGTGCTAGCCCACCCTGAGGCCCCTTGTACACGCCTAGTGCAAGGCTGCCGTTCTGCCTGGCTGGGACTCACGCTGGGGCCAAGCACAGCCTCCTCTGTCACACCTGCCCTGCAGAACTGCAGGCAGACATGGAGCAGGGCTGCTCCAAGGCAAGGCTCATGCTCCAGCATAATCCCCATCCTCAGCCTTTAGCTACCAGTGCTCCTGCCCTATGTGACCCAGTGCCCCACATACACCCAACAGCCGCTTCCAGTGGCGGTGAAAGGGGTTGTGGCCAGCTGGAATCAGCATGGTCCTCCCAAAAGTAAGCATACACAGGATTCTTTATATGCTCGTGGTTTAAGCTACTGATCTAACTTTGTTCAGGCTTTTTGCAAGAGAACTGTGCTGTTACTGCCCAGAAAAGCTTTCTATCAGCTTAATTTCATACTCTGGACTGTCACACATGAATGGCAGCCTCCACAATAGACCACAATAACTTTGCAACCCTGCTTTTGTCCATCAAAGGGCTTATTTCCTTTGTTACATGTAGATGATTGTCTAAATAGAGCTGAGATCTGTCTGTACACCTTACAGAATTCATGCTTTAATAGGTACTTGGGTTTCCAGTTGTTTATTTACTGTCTCTGGTTTCCAAAATCCTAAGCTCCTGGGTATGTTTTTGCAAAATTCATCAGAGTTGATAGTGCCACCCAAAAATCATCCAATGGCTCCTGAAGCACCTAGTGCTTGAAATGTTTCACTCAATGCTTGAAGTGTTTGCAAGTGACCTTATTGATTCTGTGTCTGGTTTAAACTGCTTGCACATAGCAGCTAAAAGAGTTTCCTACTGTCTCTGTCTGGGAAACCTAGCCTTCAAAACCACAGTCCTCTGTGCTGCCAGGCTGTTCATTAACACCTTTGCATTGTTAATGCACTGAGAATGGAGCCCTACAGGAAAAAAGTGGTCTCAAAATCTCCCTGTATTCAAAAGAGGGTCCCTGTGGCTCAAATCCTGCTCCTCCATCACATTTCAGCTCTCTGATTCTCAATTGCAGGTGCTAAAGCTCAAGGCTGGGTTCACAATGCATGGTCAGCAGCTGTAGAATGCAGGAGAAAGAGGTCAGGGCAGGACTTGAAGAACACTCAGATACAATGGTGCAAACTGATACCCAAAATGACACTTCCAGACCAGGAAAACTTGAAGAACAAATGACAAATGTAGCCCTTACTGGCAGAGATCATGATGGGTAAGTTATGGTCACCCAGAAGGACATTGGCAAGTCAACCAGCAGATGCCCATGGTCCTATTCATACATTTCGTAAAGAAAGGACCTCAGCTCCTTTTTTAAAGGAACAATACATTTGATAATGATATTTTTTCCAAAATGAGATTTGGAGTGGCACAGCTAGTGAGGCAATGAAGGGAAAACCATCAGCTGTGACAAATTACTCTGCTGCAGACAGTCCACTGATGAACAGGTCTCCTTTTAGATAAATTCTTTTATTGACCCCTGACACTCATGCAGAGGCTTCCCCTCTTCCCTTCCTACTTTATGCATGTTTCCATAGCATTCTTCTTTTCCCTCCCAGTGCCCTCTGTCTTGTGTTGAAAACATCTACATGTAAAGTGGACTGATTATCAAGCTCTGGAGCTCTCTGGAGTCACTACAACAAATTATAAATGATGTGAAGTGATGGTATGAAAAGAATAATCTCTGCAAACGGCATAATATACTAGCCTGTTTGCTGCATTAGTCAGACACTTTGCTTCAGTTCAGCAAAGTGCTGCCAGAAATTCTGACCACACCCAGAAAGAAACATGAAAATATTCCTCCCAGGAAAACAGAAAGCTTATTTCAGTCAATTTTTGAAATGACATGATAGCCAGCTAACTGGATTTGGCACAGAAAGAGAAAAAGAAAGCACTGTAGCCCTCCTTCCTCAGAAGCAAATTATAAATCATTCAAAGAGTTTTTTTAATTATTGGGCTATTACAAAAATGCCGACAAATGCTGGATGTGTGCAAGATATACAATTCCATTAGGGGTGAAATTAGGGGTGAAAGTGTGAATAGATTCTAGACAAGCACATTGCATATCATTAATGTCCCCTTTGAGCGTTTCAGAATATCAGAAGGTAAAAAAAATGAAAGAAAAAATCCCTCTTAGGTC